ATTGTGGATAGCTGACTTCTTAAACGGGCGATAAGTTTGATTTCCATCGAATAATCATTCGATCTGCCGCGTCATCGATTGTTCGACGATTATTCGATTCCTTTTGTTTATATGGCGTAAAAAACGAACGATTAAAAAAAACGGGAATCGAGAATCAAGGGCGCCAATCCTTAATGGCGTAACAGCGTTGGGACCGATTAATAAAACTGCAGCTGCGACCAACCTCGGTGGTTGCATACGCGCTGGCGCGAGTGCGCATGCGCACACTTGCTGCTGTTTACCCGTGCAAATTTTCATATTATAGGGACGGTTTATTGGCTGGCTGTCGATAAATGGTTTCATTAGGCGGAGGAACGGCTGGCCGTGATTCAGGCTATCGACAAAGTTTTCTCGGTTAGTTTTCGCCTGGTGAAAAAATGGCGATCGTTCCCCTCCCCCCCTTCGAGAGATTTGGATATTTATGAATTTTCCAACGGGTCATATTGGTAATTTGAAAAAAATAATACAGTCTCTCGTAACACGATTGATTCGGAAATCGTGAATTATTTCTCGTGGAAAAAATTTGTAGAAGGGGGAGGGAGAGGTATATTGTTTTTCAAGTGTACAATTCTTTGTTATTATGTTAGGGGATGTTTCAATTTATTGAATTTAAAAATTTATTTAAAAATCGAGAAAATTAAAATAAATAAACAAAAGAACATTTTTACGAACATTTTTTTTTATAAAACGAATAAATTACCTCGCCTATTGTATATCAAGAATCGTTAATTTTCTATCGAAAAAGCAATCTTCCGATAATTGATTAAAAAAAAAAAAAATACAGTTCGAACGAATTGAACAAAACGATCGATTACACGTGAAATTAGATTAAAAGAAAAAAAAAAATCAATTTTATAAATTGGAAAATTCATCGATGCAACTTTTATTCTGGCTCAATTTTTCGGCGGAAGGGGAACATTTTGGAAAGAGATTGAATGAGTAACTTTTCTTCATTCAAATCCGATTAATGTTGTTATTTCAATCAATAGAATATTCCATCCTCCTTAATTAAGAGCGTTCCAAAACTCTTCAAATTTCGCGGTATTCACGATTCTTTGATATATTCCAATCCACGATACGGGTTTGAAACGATATTTAATTTATAACAATTTTAAATCTTTATTTATCGCGTTCAAACATCAATATCGCTATCCAATATTTCCCTTCCATCGAGAAATAAAAATACCGTTTACAAAATTACAAGCCACTCACCGAGATCCTCTCTCTATTCGTTACAGAAGCAAATTTTTCGAGCCTAACCTTAAAATTGGTGGTGGAACAGGTTGGAAAAATTAATTTGAAAATTTAAGAGTTAAAATAATAAACGAATAAAAAGTTAGTTTACGATAATAAATTCATTTAATAAATTTATATACTTGTACGTGATATAAATTTGTACAGTTGACTGCTTTTTGTATAATTTATAATCTTTCGCTGCAGTTGAGCGCAGTGTTATTCTACGCGTTGAATGATAAATTGTTTGAGTATTTTTCTCTTTTTTTTTTTTTTTCAATTTAATTTTAATCGTTAAAATTTTATCCATCTCTCGAATCTAACCTCGATTTTTTTTTCAAATTCTTTTTCAAGAGGTTAAGGTTCGAAAATTTTTACTTTAATCGTAACAAATAAAAGTATTCGAGCAAAATTACGACAGGCTTTAAAAATTAATTTAATAATGATTAAATTAATGATTAAATTTATTTTGAATAATAATTTCGTTTAAAATGCTCGAATAACGTTTATTCCTATAACTACTTTAATTAATGTCTGCATAATTATCGCGGTTATTCTACGCTTTGAATAATAAATTATTCAAATAGCTCATTGAACTAACTTTATTCTTAATGTCTCTCAACCGCTTCGTTGCAATTTAAATGCCATTTCTATCTTGTAACTTTCTTCACGTATAAAACTAACATATGTATATACGCATCGAAATTCTTCTCGCTCTTACGATCAAATGTTATAGATAACTAGTTTGAAAAAGCGAAGAGATGGTTGGATAAATTTTTTAGATTAAAAAAATAAAATTATTCGAACAATTTTATCATTCAAAAAGCATCGAATAATTCTGTGTAACAAATTCGAACATTTCACTTAAAGCAATTCCAATACGAATCACATCCTTCGTTCTTTTTCGTCACGAGATATCTTACAAGAAAGATCATTACCTAATTCTCCAAAACTTAAACTTAATTTCTCAAAAATTACGTCACAATTACGACACAACTCGTGCATAATCATCACACTCTTGAGACATCTTCTCGAGGAGAGTTTTCTTACTTTTTATTTTTTTTTAGAAAAAGGATCCACTTGCATATATCTCCGTATCGCACCAAACCATCGCCCAACTTTCTCTCGGATCGACTTCTCTCCTAATCTCCAACCCCATTTCTTCAATTTTCGAAAGGAGAGAGAGACGAGAGCACGGCCGAATTTCGAGCTCACCAACCCGTGTTGACAGCGCGTAGCGCAGCTCGCTCCGCTCTGGATTGCCGTGCCGGCCCGCGCGCACTAATCAATATGGAGG